GTTAGGTTAACATCATTTTCAAGATACTGTAACGAACCTTCTCTTAGTGCCTGGATGGTTTCAAGGTGATCTTTAATGGTACCATGAGGGTTATGTGAGTTGATGAGATCGATGATTATAGAGGCAAGACCAAGTACACACCCAATTATTGCACCGACAGGACCTGCAAATGCAGCCAGTGTACTTCCAGCCGTGGCTAATGCTCCCGCAACGAATGACACCACTCCAACCGCCCCACTTGCCACTCCTAACGATGCACTGGCAATGTTCAATGCTTTGGTCTCTGGTGGAGAATCTGTGTCTTGTATTGCATTATGTAATTGCCAGCCACAAAACGCTATGTTGGCAGCGTCGAAAAGTGGCCCACTTATTGTATCCAACCAGGTCGCAGCTTTGGCCCATTTCTTTGCATTATTGAGGCTTGTCACAAGGTCTTCATATCCTTGGGTATTTCTCATTATTGCTGTAACCTCATTGTCGAAAAACTCAGCGATTTGCTTCTTCATGGAATTGGCACTCTCAATGATGTCATCGGCATCTCTTGTAGTTTCTATTACAGTGCGCTGTGTCATCATTCTATTATAGCTTGTCAATCCTTGGAAAAATGTATCAAACTGTCCTTGATGTTTCACTAGTTGATGGATAAGTTCAGAAGCGATTGGTTGGACCGTTGCTTGAGTAGTGTCAAAGATGGTCAGGGTTGCGATGGCGATGTTCAGTGTCTCCATGGCTTCTTCTTTCTTTCCTTGTTCCAGTTGATTTATCGACGCGATAATCCCAGATCGCCACCAGATACCGGTGCCGCCGACGTACAGTGACGATGCAGTTGCGACTGTGTTCAGTACTCCACTTGCATCACTATTTCGCCTAAGGAAGTTCGACCCAATTCTTGACAGACCTTTTGACAAAGACACTCCGCGGCTTTCGACCTCGTACACCAACATGAAGGCGAAGACCCAGAAGAAAACCAGAAATCGCGGCATTGTTGATAATATTCCTAAAAAATAATCGAAAACTAATAGCTTATGTGAAAAGATCTGTCAAGTTTTATTTAAAAAAAAGTTGATTCAAATAAGTCAAATTTCCTTGTCTTCTTGGAACGTTGTAGGGGACATTTTCCGATATTCGAGTAAAAGATTTCCAATTTTATTCAGACTACGAGACGGATACATTTGAATGGAAAAGGATACTCTGAATATGAAAACTAAGCGTTTTTGAAGGTGCCATTCACCATTTTTCCCTCGTTCTGTTTCTGATTAACATGATAAACCAGTACATGCCCACATCCATGCATTTCTAAAATTTAAATCATCATGACCACAAGTCCACATTAACTTATAAGTATATCTATAGACCTCCCATGTTACCTCAACAATTAGGTCTTCTTATCCTCCACACTCTAATCCAGACTTCAGTAATACCGACTTATAAAACAATGGAAAGCGGCCTAGGGAAAGGTGTTCTGTGTTTGCCAGTGAAAACTAATGATGCTGTGTTATAATATAGCGTCTCACCCTTTGTGAACGTCTTTCAACCAATCATAACGCATTGCAATTTCCGCAAATAAAAAACGCGTGCTCCTTTGAATGCATATTAAATGAACCGTGCATGGAACTGAAATGCAATTCTAACTTTCATTGTCAATTATATCTATTTTTAAACGATTTTTGTTGTTTAAAAACGTTATAGGTGTAATTCTTTTTGCAAAGACAAATTCAACAGGACGAAGTAGGTAGCGATCGGGAGTGCAAACGAGATATGAGAAATGCATTTGTTTGTCACAACAGACCAGTTTTTCGCGGGTCTTTGAAAACTCCTTCAAGATCAAACTGGCGATGAAAGTAATAACTGGTGTAATTTGGTTGTGGTTCCTTTGAAGTCGAGCGATACATCGGCCTAGTGGCTATGCCTCAGCTATTTCTATTATCACAGCACAGCGCAGTATTTCACGGCTTTTTGTTTTTCACGCCGGTGGTATTTAGTTGTGTTTGTTTTGATGTCGAGCGATGCGTCTGGAACTACAATACACCGCAAAGAAAAGTGGCCAAAGCCCTTTTAAATGAATCCTGGAGTTTCCACCCAAGTGAAAAAAAAGTTGCTTCAGTATAAAACATTAGAAAAGTAAAGAATGTTACCGTTAAGTGTTTATATAATCCATTTATATAGGGCCCGTTTATCGGTAATAATTCAGAACCTTCTTAATAATATATAGTTCCATATGGTTGAAGAATCTAATTACAATCTGTTTGCATTGGTTCGATCATGTACCAGCTGGAACCACCCGATCTAAAGATAAGGCAATTATTTTTAGATTTCAAAGCGTTCTTGTATATCATTTCTCTCTCTTGCCTTTGTGACTCTATATCCATTAGCTGCCTCTCACACCGGTATTTCTCCCTTCTCCTTGTCAGTGTTCCTTCACCCTATTTATACATCTATTTTGTGATTTGCAGCTATTCAACTTTATTGTAAAGTTTATTCCAGTTTCAAACCTGCTTGTGCTTAATCAGACGGAACACTAGACATCAAATCTGAGAGACCGTTTTTGGTTAGTGTTTATTGATCTGCGCTGTATCCGCAAAGATAGTCCTGTCGTGCCGTGAGTGGACAATAAGATACAAGGCATTCACCATAGATCCGAATCAGTGTCGAATCATTATCGTGTAGCTTAGGAGGGTTTTCATGTACATTATGAGGATCTTTTGAACCTGAAAATTTCCTTGAAAAACCACATTTTAATTAACATTTTTAAGTAGTAATTTAATCATGGAATACAAAAGTCTGCAAAGCCCCCAATGAGATTTCTATAGTGTTCCCAGAGAATTAGCTGGGAATATCCACTGGAGATTAACACTAGAAATTCTAGATTAGGAAAGAGTTTNAATCATAAAAGTTGACTCTCACCAATAGTCAACTTTAGACATTTTGGTTTGATTACTTTGTACAAAAGAACGAACACGAGGTTCCGGGAAAACAATGGATAATCTTGATTTATTCTTTCATTTCCCCGGAGCCTCGTCTGCAATTCTTTTGTGCATGGCCACTGAGCCAAAATATGTGAAGTTGGCTATTTATCGTGATAAACCATTTAAAAATGCCCCAAATCCCATAACCTTTCGACGTTTCTCCCTCATCCCTTAGGTATTTGGGACATTTCTCCTACATTGATTCCTCTGCATTTGCCTCTCACAATCCTTCTAAAAAGAGTCAAGTAATATCGCGACGCCTTTTCTAAAGACAATTCGCTGAACTAAAAGTCCCTTATTATGATTACTTTGGCTGTAACTATAAACGAGGACAATTGCAAGGGTTTAGCTTTTATTCCTTTTTTGGTTTCCGTAGTTGTGCAACCATGCAATGCACCTAAATAAACATGTTATTTTCAATGTTAATATCGCTTTCGATAGAAGCCAATGTTTTCTTCAATACTTTGTGAAGACAAAACGATTTCTTCTCTCCATGAATAAAATCATGTAAATTTACTCTCACCAATTTATCGTGATATGCCAGGGTATTCGCCCCGGTCACTAAAGCTCGRTGGATGGTTTGATYWCCTTCCTTCACTATAATTCTCCATCCATTTTCGATTTGTTTATCTGGTTTGAATTTTATGYTCATTGTATTTCCTTCTCTTGTTAGGTGCTGCAAGAGGGCATCGTTAATGATCAGTGAATTTTCCGCGTAGTCACCTCTCGCCTTGCCTTYATAAGTCACATCTTCATGGGTTTTAGCTTCTCCTAAAGTTATCTTCCATCTTTTKTSTGTGGGAGTTTTTGCAGGGACTCCAAGCACGATCTGCTTWGGCTTATCACYCTCATCCACATASTCCTCTGTAAATTTGTACTCATCTTTTGGCCTTGATGTTAGCCCRATGTACTCGCTTGCCAAGTTTACGGCCRGCCTGTCATCATGCTTTAAGTCAAATAGAAGCTGGTAGCTTCCAGCGGTTCCAAACACGATGCGCTTTGCTTCAGGAATACTGACTTCGATTGTYCCTCTCAGTTCACGYGATGAACTTGAGCGAAGCTCGTAATAGAGCTTTTKCTTTGCTTTGATATAGTAGAGGACYGRGTACGCCATGAGGGTATCATAAGCTGACCATTTATCCATGAAGTCATCGTGAAGAACAAGGAACGAGTTTGCTGGTAGTTGTAGAGTGTGTTGTTTAGTTTCTCCCACTTTAGGCTCTCTGCCACTATTCCCAAGAACAATGATAAAATCTCCACAAAGGCCAGGGATGGGTTGCGTTATCAAGTCCACGTCTAGGTTGTACAGAAATGGAACACTTGGAACAGGCCGATCGTCRATATAAGCTCTATAATTCAGCCTGCAAGTTTGAAATAAAAATACATTATGTTATGGTAGATCTAGAAGTATTGAGMTTTGAGYTCCGACTWCTCAGAGCCGAACAGCCCGGTTTACCCATGCAGTCCTTATTCTTATATATTGTATATATTCTCAAGTATTGAGCAGGTAAACAAAAAYTCTAAGCCTAGGGTAYGAAATTCATTGTTATGTTGATAAATAAAGCCAYAACAAAAAACTGCTTATGTSCTTCAAAAACCTGTGATTGCTTCCAATTTCTCTGCTTCTAAATTCCTCATCTAGGCGTTCAGGATTCCTGCATTTAAGACCAGGACGATGCAGRCCTTTAATCTGAGGACATTCGGGTTTGCTGTCACCAGTTACTTCAACTATAAATAACTTTATTTGACTTATATCGCCTGGTTTTGTTCGCTTGAGGATGATCCTGCCAGTGTGCTTGTGTCTTTTTTGTGGGTCTCTCATAAATACAACCAATGTTTGAGTCTCCTTGTTGTAGACGACATCTGAATTTCCAATTTTGTGGTATTTTCGTTCAAATTGTGACTTTGCAACCAGATATATAGTACCAATTGTTCTTGAGTCATCTGTTATTGTATGTGTGAAGTCCCTCTCATTRTGAATACTAATGATATAAATGTTGTYCCCACTGTCACTTTTGACGATAAAATCTTTCGTTTCACGAATCCAAATTTCGTCGTCAAATGGAGAGTCTGTAAAGACGCATGACAATCAGTTAGTATGCTAATGAAAGTTTTCGTTCATACAAATTTTAAATTTTGAAGAACACAAATTTGATTCAATGAAAAGATAAAGTCACTCTGACATACCATACAATACACTGGTACCAAGAATCTGTCCAATCCCCAAAGCTGGCATTGCGTTTGAGCGCTCCGATTCTTTAAGCTTGTAGAAAATAGATGTTGTAGTTCCCAAAAAGATTCGCATTCCTGTGAATATAAAGKTTTCTCCAACGTCATCYGGGAACTCTAACCTTTCTGGGTTCATTCCTTGAAAAGACAACGTGTTGACTCCGGAACCCAAATCGGCCTGAAAGCATCCCTGTCCCCARCCATTGCAGACGACTCCAGTAACCTGAAGAACATCGTCCCCAGCACCGGTTTTAACCCTTATATTACTTTCTGATTCTACAAGGCCCGTCATCTCGCCGATTATGACATTATCAGGGGCTGCTTCATCATTCATCAGTCGTGTGTCGATATGAACTCCACGAATCCAGAACTGTTCACCAACCATAGGAGTGGAGGCAAAGACAGTCGTACCATTTCCRTTTGGTTTTATTACTTTYCCATAAAAGTCATAACCGAGTGGGACTTTTCCTTTTGGCCGCCATATCAAAGTAGCGTACTTTGATTTGTCAAAGATTCTGTTTTTTCCCATTGTGAGGTAGCCATCTTCTTCGCCAGGAGTAGTCCTGCTGTTAAATGCGACGTTAAAATCACGGTCCGCACCTYTGATGGTTTTGTAGGCATCTGTGCGCATGGYCACAATCAAATTTCCTTGGTTGACTTGGTAAACGGTATCAAAACCAACATTTTGTGAAAACGAAGATGTCATTGACTGCGTTAAGTTAACGTTATTTYCAAGATACTTCAGAGAACCTWTTTTCAGTGCTTGGATTGTTTCAAGGTGTTCCTTTATGGTAACATGTGGGTTATTAGAGTTGACAAGATCAATGATGATAGATGCAAGACCAAGTACACACCCTATTATTCCACCGACAGGACCTGCAAATGCAGCCAATGTACTTCCAGCTGTAGCTAATGCCCCCGCCACGAATGACACCACTCCAACCGTCCCACTCGCCACTCCTAGCGATGCACTGGCAATGTTCAAAACTTTGGCCTCTAGTGGAGATTCAGTGTCCTTAATCGCATTGTGTAGCTGCCAGCTACAAAACGCTATGTTCGCAGAGTCGAAAAGAGGGCCACTTATTGTGTCTAACCAAGTCACTGCTTTGGCCCATTTCTTTGCGCTTTGGAGACTCTTCACGAGGTCGTTATATCCTTGGGTATTTTTCATGAATGCTGTAACTTCAGTGTCAAAAAATTCTCCAATTCGCTTTCTTAAGGAATTTGCGCCGTCTATGATGTCATCTGCATCATCTGCACTTGCAACGATCGYACGTTTCGCCAAGGCCTTGTTGTAATTTCTCATTGCGTTGAAAGTTTGAGGGAATTGTCCTTTATGTTTCACTAGTTGATTGATAAGTTTTGAAGCGATTGGCTGGACCGTTGCTTGTGTAATGTCAAAGACGGTCAGGGTTGCGATGGCGATATTCAGTGTCTCCATGGCCTCTTCTTTCTTTCCTTGTTCCAGTTGATTTATTGCTGCGATGATCCCAGATCTCCAYYAGATTCCGACACTGCCAACATACATGGATGAAACTGTCGCGCCAGTGTTCAGAATTTGAATTKGATTCCTGCGTGAAAGGATGTTTTTCCCGATTCTTTGAAGAGCTGTCGACCAGGACGTTCGGATCCCATCAGCMTCCATTACAAAGAGGAGGGAATAAAGAGAGACAAAAAACAAAAGACGTAGCATTGTTCGATGTTCCTAAAATAAAAAATATATAATATATAAATATTGTCGTCAATTTTTATCTCAAATTATAGTCAATATAATTGGAAGTACACAAAAGAGAGAAATATCAATTTAAAGAAAAGATTCCCGTGGGCCTATGGGATATAGCATCGCCCTCGGTCCTTCAGTCAGTGATAAACTTCAAAAGCGGTCTCGCGTCGAAAGGAAAATTCTCTCTTTACTAACAGAAGAATATAACCATTTTGAACACAAGATAAGCTAAAATATGAACAAAATCAAATGAATTAAGCAAGTAATGCTGTTTGTTACTCTCTCAGTAATGAAACTTTTCATTCCTCACATGCCCTTCCTGGATTTACGGGAACATATTCAGTTCACTTGGAATCACGTATAAATCTCAGTATAAAAARGATAATAAAATATAAATTATGCTAGGCCAAAACTGATTATTGAAACCAAGTATGTCTAAARATATTTTAAGTATAGAATAGTTCACTACCTTCATTTTCCAACCTCCAAGATATCAATGAMAACCAACACCAACTTTGTACAAATTGGAGTGCTTCATAATTTTCTGAAAAAAAAAACCCACTTCAAGACCAACACGTGACCAGTCATTACTGGTGCCTTCGGCGGTATACTTTGATGTCCAGCGATTCCAAATGGTTTCCATAGAAACTGACAAAATTGAGTCAGAGTACCAGGAAATAGTACTTTAAAAACTAAGTTATTACTGGTGTCTTTGGCGGTACACTTTGATGTCCAGCGATTCCAAATGGTTTCCATAGAAACTGACAAAATTGAGTCAGAGTACCAGGAAATAGTACTTTAAAAAC